CGTATAGCTTACAGTTTGATCAACTTTTTACTTACACACAGACACCTCACTACCAAATTAGCCAGTTAGCATGACCCATACTCAACATGACCTTGACCTTTGACGGCAAAAGCTCGTATAGCTTACAGTTTGATCAACTTTTTACTTACACACAGACACCTCACTACCAAATTAGCCAGTTAGCATGGCCCTTACTCATTATGACCTTTCAAGGAGAGATCACGTGCCAAAAACTATCACTTCAATATCTTCTAGTTTATTATAATTTCCACCACATGATGTCTCTCTTCCCTCACTGCCAGCAAGTGGCCTAGAAATGTCTATATGGTCATTTCATAATTCTTGTTGTCTCCTCTATAAGTTTAGTTTATATACGGTGATAATTTTTAATTTTTTTGTTTTGCATACTAACATTTAAATAACTTTTGATATCTAAACCATTTTAAATTAACTATTAGGATTTGTTTTACAAAACGTTTTCGATAGAGTTGGCACTTCTGGAATTGACGTGTACGTCTGGAGTGGACAACTTTTTAAATTAACTATTAGGATTTGTTTTACAAAACGTTTTCGATAGAGTTGGCACTTCTGGATCTGACGTGTACGTCTGGAGTGGACAACTTTTCATTTTCTCAACAGACTTTATGAGGACTTCAGCACCTTTCTGGACTTTATAATTACCAAGTTTCCCTATTTTATAATTATCCGGTGTCGCAGCCCTCTGGTGTGCGATGTACTTGATATCTTTCTACGGTTCTTTAGATACTGAACGGCTATATTTAGAGGATGTTACGTCTGAGGAGATGTTTTTATGCCATGTGTCAGGAGGTTTAGTATGCTGTGTAAGATGAGAATATCCGTTCATGTAAACTTTCTGTAGAGAAAATCAACCTGTCTAAAGTGAAATTATATTTATATAATTGGTATAATTATATACCAGCCTTGATCCAACACTACCTATTATTATATATCAATGTATACCAGTCTTGAACCAACACTACCCAATATTATATACCAATGTATACCAGTCTTGAACCAACACTACCTATTATTATATACCAATGTATACCAGTCTTGAACCAACACTACCCAATATTATATATCAATGTATACCAGTCTTGAACCAACACTACCTATTATTATATACCAATGTATACCAGTCTTGAACCAACACTACCTATTATTATATACCAATGTATACCAGTCTTGAACCAACACTACCCAATATTATATATCAATGTATACCAGTCTTGAACCAACACTACCCAATATTATATATCAATGTATACCAGTCTTGAACCAACACTACCTATTATTATATACCAATGTATACCAATCTTGAACCAACACTACCTATTATTATATATCAATGTATATCAGTCTTGAACCAACACTACCTATTATTATATATCAATGTATATCAGTCTTGAACCAACACTACCTATTATTATATACCAGTCTTGTACCAACACTACTTATTATTACATATCAATTTTTATCAACATTATCCATTATGTACCAAACTTGACCAGTCATGTACAACTACTCCTTAGGTACCAATACCTAATGGTTTTGTATTAACATTATCCATTGTGTACCAACATTTAACAGTCATGAACCAGTTATTTATGACCAATATTTAATAGTCATGTTGAATCGATAAAGATAAAACTTTATAAATACACAATAAACAATTACATACTTCAAAAGCTAAGATGTGAACATTTAAGACAACTAACTTAAGTTTTTGTGTGTCTAAAGTCAATAAGCTTTCAATGGAAAAGTTAACCAGCAAATCAGTGTAGGTGAAGACGTTCGGGCTTGTTTGAAGCTTTCTTAGAGAGATTTAAAAGTATTAACTGATTCAGAAATGTTAAACAATCTGTAAAAAGGATCTTTCAGGGTTGATTAAGAATCAATTTAAACATAAACACAAATGAAGTGAACAACAGAATGGTTTGATAACAACACTTACCAGAAATAAACCCTAAACAATGACATGTGAAGCAAAATCCAAATGGAGACCATTGCAGGTTTATGGACAAAGAGATTTTTAATTATGTAAAACCAAAGAACATCTATAATCTACAAACATAAAACATGCCTAAAAATATTTACTTCTCATACCTCTACTTTTATTTATAATCATTCTGTAAGATCTTCCGATCATATCACAGTTATTTACTGAAGTATTTCACTTAACAGAAAGGCATCAGATCACCAATATATTTCATACACTTTTTTTGTCATTTCATTCTTGTGGTTTTTCTATTCACCAATTTTTGAATGCTCTTTAAATAACTTTGTATTAAAATAATGCAGACATAAATATCTTTCGAGTTAATACAGAAACCTTTGAAAGCTCATAGCAAAACCCACCATAAACTTGAGCTTAGCCATGCTGTTTACAAACACATCAATTTTCATTTCAAGTTCATAGGTCAAGTACGACACAAAGAAAATGATTATTTTAAAACTAAAATGGCCTTTATTTGACCTTGCTGTTTCAACCCACATTCAGATAAATTACAAACTAGAAACCTGAATATATTTTCTTTACCAGTGCCATAAAAGAGTTTCACAAATATTTAGAGGTAGACGTGAATGTTACTAGAAAACCAAACTTTTGTTGATCACCATTAACAAAATTGTCAAATCTCAACAAAGTAACTGTTTTTATTACACGATGCTTTCTACATTTAACACTTACATACCGTTAGATTATAGTTTTTCCTTGTTTGGGCAGAACATTCATGCTGATTGGTCAAGAAGTAACACTGCTGTAATATTATTTAAATGTTGTAACGATAGTGTCATCTCACCAGCATCAACAATAAGTCTTAATTTTCTCACTAGGCCTAAGGAGAAAATCTGGTATAGATGTATATATATATGTCACTCAAATATTTAATATTTCCAAATTAATAATTTTAGAACCATACAGATCCTTTCTAACTGTGCAGATTCCAAATAACAACCATCAATACACAGGTACAGCACGAAATTTAACTGCCTTGAGGACCAACATTAAGTCAACATCCATATAGTTATTAATTAAATATAAGAAGTATATGTAACGATGAGTTAAGTTATGGGTCTCATGTGGTTATCTAATTATTTTAAACTGAAAATCAGTTCCTCCTGTGTAGTTTAAATCACAGCAATAATCTGAAATTATTTCAAGTTGGTTATGAAATAAAATTAAAGCACGAAATGAAGATTACACTTCTTACGCAGTAAAATTCAAGCATTTTTACACATTGTAAGATATCGTCATTATTTTGGAAAAATAAACAATTTCAATGATCTGGATAATTGTTTAACTCATTTTTTGTTGAAAGGACATATTTATAATCTAAATTCACGTATAAGAATATAGCCTACCTCCCACATAGAAATCAAACTATAAGGATGAGAAAAACACCACATAAAATACTCCTTGACCTAAGATGTAACCTAACGGTAATTCAGTAAATAAACAGATACATTAGATAAACTACTTACACATAGCTGCTATTGATAAAGTTACCTGTGTACCGTAAATGAAGAAATTATACAGCTATATATATATACATATCACATATACATGTATTTAAAATGTAAAACATATATTCCTTATTGCAAACAAAAGTTACATTTGTGTCTATGAAATTACTATATTATATAAAAGATACCACATGTAAGCCCTTAAAAAACAAAACCTATTCCTTTCCAAGAGCAAGAATTATATAATATACACTTAAGTTTATAAACCATACATCTTATTTTGTTTACATGACAGTTTATATGCCACGCATCTTTTGTTTACATAACATAGTTTACATGACAGTTTATAAGCCATACATCATATATATATTGTTTACATGACAGTTTATAAGCCATACATCATATTTTG